GTGCCTTTTCTTTGTCTTATAAATTCACTAATCTCGATATAAATACTTTTGCATACCACTAAGGCACTGGATTTTCCTTTAGACAGTCCTTCTGTGTTTGTCCTCTCTGTATATCTTCAGTGTTCCTCTCAGGCTTCAAGTTTTCCTTCAACTTGGATGAATATTTTTGAAAAGACCAAAACCTTTTCTAGAACAGAGATTCAGAAAACTGGAAATAATTAGATTATCTTGATTATCTTTTTAGAAATGTATCCGTCTTGGTTATAGAAAAAAAAGCAAAGCTGAAGAAAGAGAACCAGCACACCAGTTTTGGACCCAGATGTGAACCCAGTAAAAGTGGTTCGCTGTTATCATTGACTTTAGTGAACAGAAGTGGACAAAACAAGCTGACAAAAGCTGAGGTTTAAGTTAGGGAGTCCCTACTAGGTCATACTGGGAGTATGTCAGATCTTCAGGAACAGACCTAGGTAGAGGCACGCATGCAGAGGTATCCTGCCAGGCAAACTCCAGGGCAGAATTATTCCCTCATGGATGAGCGAGAGAATCGTCTGTTCCTCTGGTATATCAACGAAACCTTCCCTGTCCTGACATTCGGCATGAAACAGTGGTTCTGCTAGGGATGCCCTTTCCCAGGCGTCTGCAGCAAGTCCTCAGAGGCTTTGCAGGCACTGGGCAGTGGCTGCACTCCTGTAATGCCAGTATCCAGCTGGGCCACAGCAGTAGACTGTGCTGAGGAGGAGCGCAGAGCGGAGCCGCGGCTGTCCTGGAGGTCGCCCCTGGCTGGTGGGAGCCAGGAGCACAGCTGGCGCGCAGAGGAACGCAGGCTGGCAGCAGTGCCCCATCGGCACCACTGCTGGGTGGCCGCAGGCACCTGGGCGGCAGGACAGGGCGCCGCTCTGAAGACCGCTTTTTCACAGTGGTGTAGATGTAGCCAGTCTGGGACTCTTCTTCCTGAAAAGCCTACAGAGAAGATGAGAGCCCATCTCGAAAGGGATAAGACTGTATGAATGCTCAAGTACAATTGGTAACCTGACTTGCCTAGTTTCCAGAATATATGAACAAACAATTTGGCATGAGTAGAGACTACATCTAATCCTTTTTAGCCTTTGTCTTTGAAGAGCGCAGTATATAAGTTATAGTCATTTATCATTACTTCCTACAATTCCAGACAAATCATTGTTTGAGTGCAATTTTATCTTAATTTACAATAAGTTGACTTTAGTTTGCTTAGTAGTAAACTTCAGAGCTAGAAGAAATAAAAAGAAAATCATGGGCTAAGACTGAACCAGGGGATTTATTCCCTGGTTTTATGTTGTAGAGAGTTAAGAGCGGTAAACAGAAGTGAGTTAAAAATAATAGTAAAAAAAACTCAACCGTAAAACACACTCGCTGCTTTTTTACCATTTGTGAGCATCTTCTCAGTTGGTTCATAAAATTAAAATGGGTCTGAGAACTATTCAATGTCTAATTAGTGGGAATGGAGGATATAACTGATTCTTTTCATCTCTTACTTTCATTAAACTTCATATTCAATTAAATGATTAGAATATCAAGCTCTGTTCCATGAATCCCTGGGAGAGGGGAGGTCCTGCAGATACTTTCTAAGGGGCTACAAAAGAAAAACAAGGCTATTACTAACAGTCTTAAATTTTCTCGATATGCTGTCATATCTCCAGTGGAAAACAGTTAGGGTTTTACCTCAAAAGAAGGTGAAAATCAGCAGTACAATATTAGGATCACAGAGGTTTAAGATCACAAGCTTTAGAGTGCATAATCTTTTTTTTCTTTTTTGGTATTCTCAGAAAGTGTTTTAATTTTTAATTGAGCACGATTTCCAGCTGTCATCCTCAGCTTTCCTCCATTCTCAGCTGTTGTCTCGTAAATGGCTGGAGAATGCTTTTTCACTATTTAGTACTAATTAATTTTGTTAATTAAATGTCACCCTCCTTTTTCCCTTATTAGAGTTTTTGTACAAAAATGGTTCCCAGGACATTGCTGCTAAAATCACTGAAGATTAAACAGAAAGGATAGAAATTGAATGTGCAAGCACTAGAGAATTCATTAAATGCAGTGTAAGACTTGCAAATGCCTCTTGACAACCGGGATGGGAACTATAAGATACTCTCCTCCAAGGGTGAGTTAATAGACTAGCCATTTATATCAAATGTTTTTGTTGGTAGGCAATGGTATCATAAACTACTGAACTCAAGAACCAGTGTCATCATGTAATCCTATTCTGAGATGTCTCATTATACCAATTACATTGTCTGTGAATTTTCCCATATTAATTACATAAAACCAATGGACAAGCATCTTGTTATTTCTTGTTTCCTTTTCAGATCTAAAGTAGCAAGTGCATGTGGGAAGAAAATGAGAAAGGCAGACTTTCTCTTCCTCCAATTTACTGGCAGCTCATCCATCTGGGGAAAAAAAAAGCTTGGATTTCTTCCTGGGGGCATACCCATGTGTGTATGTGGGAGCTGGCAAGCAGCCACATTAAGATGATTACTCTTTTTTGAACCCCTGTAGTCTATGGCAGAGCATAATGCATATGTTAATAATGCTCTTTTGTAGTGTCGAAGGGTTTCACTGTTCTTTGCTGGCACGATCCCCAAGTATGGACCAATTCTATTAAGTAACACAGAAAGCTGCCAGTGAGGAACGTAGTCCAGGATATTATCAGGAGAAACATGCAATCTTTATTGATTTCTTGACACTAGCATTAATAACAGAGCAGCCAGCGTTTCCTATAAGCCCTCAAGATCTAGTCAGCCACATTTATTTAGCTCTTCTTATTGTCATTCATCCTTCTCCGAAGGCTTTTGGGGCAGTAGGGAAAGACAGTAAATGCGCCTTGTTGTACTTCAGTGGCATGGTTCAGCTTAGTCTTTCTCAGCTGTGTGTGCATTTGAATGGAAAGTGCTGTGTGTTATGTGTGTTAGGAGACCAAGACCTAGGAGAAACAGTTGATGGGCTTTGTACAGATGTTGTCAGAGTTATGCCCAGTATTTCTGTCAACTTTCATGGGAAGCGAATGAAGGCATTTTATCTAGGCTACCTCCTCTTTGCTTATATATATGCTTGAAATGCCCAGGGATGGCCTGATTTGTCAAAGGTGATATGGTTAGGAGTTACCACATGTACAAATAAATTAAACTTGTGCTGCTTACCTGAATGCCATCCTCAGGCTGAGGTAACCATTTCCAGATAGCATCTGGAAATGTTCAAAATGGGTAAGGTGGTACATGCAACTGGGGTTTATATATTTCAACTCTCTAAAGCATTGTAGTTCAATGTGAAGCTCCCATAAAGCCTCTCCTGCACAGACTCTTTCTCCCCACAAATAGACCAAGATCTTATAAGGCAAAAACTTCTGTCCTGTAAATAAATACAGGAAAGTGTCAACCCGTGTTCTGTGGAAAGCCAGGATTTAGTTTAGATGTGCTTCTTAAACTTCCTAACATTTAAATAGGCATGCACAGAGACACGGAGTCCTGTGGCTGCTAATCCTATTGTGTTAGTTGTGTATTATTTAATAGAGTGTAGGTAAGACCTCTCTTGCCTGTTTTTGTGACAATTACTGTTTAGGGGATATAAAGTCTCTATTGCCCAAGTGAGAGTGTTTTTTAATTCCAGTGAGAAACTGAGGCATGTAGGAGAGACAATAAGTATCCAGTAAAGCTGTAATGTAAAATATATATGTAGTAATTGCTGATTTTAAGAAAAAAAGGCGTAATCCTTGCATTACAATATTTTTACCAAGTGGAGCCTGTTGACTGCTAATGCATGTTGCATTCTTTAACTATTGGCTATAGCGCATCTTTTGTGTATTGTGTAGGCTTGTAGCTGCTTTCCTTGCTCAAGTGCACGTTTACGTAGTATCATCCAAAATCTTCTCCACAGTTTAATGAGCTATGTTCCTAAACACAGTTTTTTGGTTTGTAGTTTTTCCTCATACCTGAACCCAGCCTTGTACTATCTCACCCGCTGTCTGTCCAGTGGACCCCCTTGTTCAGGTCCTAAGTCCTCTGAGAGATGCTCAAACTGGAGTCTGTGCAAATGTCCAAATTCAGCAAAGCCAGACCCTAAATTCCTTCATATGTTTTACAAAATTGTTCTCAGCAAAGGCTTCTCCCTTTTGTTAAGTCTTAAGGAAGTCAAGTAGCCTGCAGATAGAAATATATTGAGCTGATCTATTTTGAAAATATTTTGAAATAATGAATGCCTTCGCAGAGTTTTGGACAGATTATCCTACCCACACACAGACCTACAAACAAACAAGCACAAACTATTTTTTTAACCAAGGTATTTGCAATCAATACTTCAGCAGCTCTAGAGATGTGACAGGATTATAACAATGGCCAGGAGAGGAAAAATAATTGTGAGGAGAAACTTCAAGAAGACGGTAACATTGCATGAAATAAATAACAAAAGAAAAATGGAGAAGAAAAAGACAAAAATATATAACAGATTAAAAAAATGTAATAATAACTACAAGCATGGTTGATGTGTCTAAATGAAATGGAAGAAGAAACTTGTCCAGCTAAATCATAAAACAGCTGGCTAATGTATATATATTATCAGATCTCAGACATACCTTTCGTAGCAAAACAATGGGAAAAAAGCTAATATATTGTTCATATCCTAAACTTGTATCTGGCTTAGAGTTACAATATCACTGGGAAATTGCTTAGAAATAAACTAAAGAATATGGCCTATTTCGATAATCTTCCTGCACTGCCAAAACTGTAGAGTCAATACTATAATAGTAGTAATAATAATAATACCCTTTATCCCTGACATTGCCGTGCTAAGAATATTGAACAACACTGTGTCCAAACAGCTCACGTTCAGAACAGCCGTCGGTGAATGCAGGCGTTTCGGATGGACTGGTTTCTAAACATAGGACAAAATGAGGTTGGCCTGTGTGGATGGACAGCAGGAGTGTTATAACCTGCTCTTGGTAACAGGCTGTCATCAATTACCTCTCTCCTATGCAGGTCAACAGGGGGACAAGGCAGTCAAAGGCATCACTGCAGCAAGCAAGATTTAAACCTCCATCATGTCATTGATCCACCCCCAAATGCCCTCTCCTGCGGGTTCCTCACGGCAAGGTAAATATAGTTATTTTTCTGGCTTCTCACTGTTAGATCTTGTACATAGTCTCACAGAAAAAGAGTCAGCATCTCCGGTGCAGTATGTGCTGTACCTATTCTATTGACTTATATTCAGCAAGTTTAAGTCAATTCCAATCATGTTCCAGCTTAAGTGCCGGGGCACTTTCAGTGCCTTACAGCATAACGCCAATCTAAAGAAGGCTGTAACAGGAGATTAACTTGTAGGAACATCATATTAACTGAAAGAGATAGCACAAAAATAAGAGGAAAATCAAAGCAAGATTGAAGGTTAAAATATAAACATCAAGAGATCATTTTAGCGCTTACTGGAGACTGGCCAGACTGAGGGAAGTTGAAACAGACAATCAAAAAATTGCTGGAGTTGTAGGGAAGGATATGGGAAAATATTACACACGTTATGGTCATGTCTGAAAATGTAATCCTTCAGTCCGCAGAGATATGAGAAAAAGCGAAAGATGAACCCCTTGGGCTGTGACATTCCTATACAGCCAAAAATAGGGGTATTTGAGGGATCTTGTAAATTAAACAGAGCACGGAAAAAATCATTTTAATAGGTTTTACAAATGGCAAAATGTTTATACTAGAAATGGGACTTAGCTATAAAACTCGTGTCATGACATGAATATGAGATATACTGTGAGGAGAAGGCTATTGGATCTAAAAAGAAAATAGAAGAAAAGGAGAAATCTATGCTTAAATGAGACTAGAAAAGACAGGTGATCACTGATCAGTTGATCTGCAACCAGTCTTAGAAAGGTTAAATACTTCCAAATCTCAATGAAAATGGCAGTAGTTGAAGGTACCATTCATCTTACATGTGTAAATGCGATCTATAAATATATACATATACACAGCACTACCAAAACGGAATGACACTGAGTGGATAGTTGGTAGCTGAATAGTTGGTAGTAAAAGTTAAGCAATACGTAGCTTCATTTAAGGTGCAGGGCACCATCTGCACAAGGTTAGTAACAAGCAATTGCCATAGCACGAGAGGCTAATTTTGAAATGGGAGAGTAGAGAAAAAATTCCCAAATCAGAGCTATCAGAACTGGAAAGTCTTGGAGTGGCAAAGAAATTGCAGGGAACCATGCAGTTTTGCTCCCGTTTGCAAGAGGGAGATAGCTTGGATGGAACAGGTCAATTTAGCCATTCTGTCTCCTTGCATATAGTGCAATTGACACTGAAGTGCCTCTTGGCTATAGAAGGCCAAATATTTACACTGTATTGTTAACCATGAGCCAGATGCACATTGCACTCAGGCCTATCTGGAATGAAGGGGAAAAAAGTATCTGTGGGTCATTGCATGTGGGTATGAGGTTTTGAAAGTTTGGCCCTAATGTGTGAACCGCACAGAACCAGAGAGATTTTTAAACTGCTCAGCACTGGCCTGTCTTTCTTCTCTTTAAAATCGCTCATAATTGCATGGAAGCAGAGTTTGAGCAATTGCCTTTGAATGCCATCCCATTGACTTCTCTTTGACCTGGGTGCATCAGCAATATTTCTGTATTGCTGTTTTCTAATGTACTTATTTTTGTGGGGTTAACATAACGTATATAATTGTGATTAAGAAATTGAGTTTGATAACATGATTTGCAATCAGAGGTTATTTTCTTTTCTATGAAATTAAAAGACTCATCTGGAAATCCATCAGTTAGCAAGAAATTAAAAGCCCAAAACGGATACGGAATAATGTAGTCATTTCAGGCATTACTTGATTCTTAGCTACAAACTAATCTGAGGCGCTTTGCTTCTTTTGAAGGAATGGATGCTATAGTGAAATAGAGTGGTCTCTATTTCACTATCTTGTTTGCAGCATTTAGATTTGAAAGGCATGCTAAACTGATATTTTGGAGACAGTTCTCAATTTTAGATTATTTACCATATGAATCTGTAAGTTCCTGTAGTATTGGTAAGATTTTCTGCACTCTCTGTTTCTCAAAGATAAAGTCCTCCTTTTCCTAAAGCTGGCAAACAACCTATCATTGTGTTTACGTTCCTGTGTTCTTGAAGGCTGGGAATGCAGTTGACTCCATAAAGATCAAGTTCTGTGAATTTGCATATTTTTTTCTATTGCATTATGTCACGGTGCTGAAAAATTAATGCATACTTTTTCTTCTATACCTTTAATGTTTCCCCCATTTTATTGAGCAGGAGTGTAGGATCTATTGCTCCTGCAAATATACATGTATGAATATAAGATCCCTGGTAATATCTGTGTGCATTAAGTTAGTCTTATGTTTTTTAGTATTAAAGCCTGTATATGGAAATCTAGTTTCCTAGAAGATTTTCCAGAAAAACAACAAAAGAACAAGCCCAGCCTGTGTTGTTGGTGGTGAAAGACATTGGTTTGAAAATTTAAGTTTCAACAAAATTAAATATATATTTAATGGGGGCTATCTCTAAGACCTAAGAATCAGTTTGGCATAGTGCAGTTCTGTAGGTAAAACAGAGGTAAATTGTGAAATGAGAGCAAAAAGTAAACTCATGAAAAACAAGACAGCTGAGTTGTGCCATGTTTTATAAGATTTGTAATCCATTTTGTTTGTTTTGAATATATTTTGAAAAGTTTGGTAAACGTTATTTTAGGATGTGAGAAAAAATAAAATGTTGACATAGCTGCTGTAACATTTAACTGCAGATACAAAAGTAGGGAGTAACAAGTTTATGGCCTGCAGGGTATTATTATATTTTCATGTTCACTCCCAAAATTCTGGTCCTTAGTTTCATACCGCATTTGTCTTTTTGTATATGAGGAAGAAGCAAGCACATGAGTGCCATAATCTGTACAAAGTATTAGTGCTTGAAGTATTCAAAGAGCCTCTTGTTTTCTTTTTTTTTCTTCTCTCCTAAGGAAAAAAAAGAAATACAAAACAGTTTTGGAGAGAGAAAAGAGAGTCAGAGTTTAGGGAAATAGCATCAACTCTAGTAAAAGGCCCCTTTGGGAAGACCCACTCAGTGTTACACCAATTGACGTTTGTGGGTAATTTCATAGGCCAGAACCTATATCTCATCTATTTTTTTGTGTGAATTCTGCTTCCTAGAAAGGCAGAATTTGGGAGTTTTGTGTTGTTCTGCTCCTCCCACTGATGCTTTAGAAGCCAAAGAAAGCCACTTGCATATGAAAGTCTATCTAAAAGGAAGGAACTGCTTGCAGGCTCTCTGTGTGAAAGTAACTGGGTATTGCGCTGTTACCAAGCACACTTTCCCTCCGGATCAGGCAGCAATGTGCCAACAGGGCATAACCTGCCCTGGCTCACTATGGGGCGAATAGTGTCTTTTTCACAGGGAGATAAGGCACTAAATTGCAAAAGTGTTCTTCGCTCCCTGTGTACCACCCCGACTGCGAAGGAGGTAGGCATGTGCAGGCATGAGAGCACAGGAGAGTTTTGATTGCGCTGTAACACAGAAAGTGCAGAAGAAATAGAAACAAAAGAGCTAGTGACATGGAAAGTAATGTAATTCTCGAGCACGGGAGTACCTAAGTGTTTGTAGCAGCAAGAGAATCTGGAGGGTTTTCATTTAAATTAACTGCTACTGAGATGCTGTCAACCTCTCACCAAAAGCCCTGGGCCATACAGGAAGCCAGGTTGCTCCTCTGTGTTATGCACCATGTGGAAAAGACCCTCCCCAACCTGGGGGAGCCCCTCAATACTGGGTCAGGATGTCATGAGCGGGCATCATGTTCTCCTCCACCAGACCTGCTTTGAAAGAAAGACCTCCAGTTCGTCTTCCCCAAGGACACCCACGCTGCAGAGACCCTTGGGGCCTCTGAAGGTTGCTCTTGCTAAAACCTGACTCATGTGACTAAGCAGTAGAGCTGGATGTGAGCTGCGATTCACCTCTGGCCGTAGTCTTCCTCCTCCCTGAGCTACTGCTGGAGATCCCACTCTTAACGAACCTAAGATGCAAAGATAGGCAACACTTTGCAATGTTTTCCTTAGTCTTGCAAGTGTTTTGAAGTTACTCCGTGCTGTTGATATAAAGACCCACTTTGTGACAGAAAATAGGAAAACTCAGTGTGAAATCCTGGCCTACTGCAATCAGTGTGTTTTACCTTTCGTTCCAGTGTGGCCAGGTTTTCTCCCAATACACTTTCACTTTGAGTTTACAGACTTAATCCTGCAAGTCCCTGTGACGGTACCCACGTACAAGTAGGCAAGGCTTTTCAGTTTGCGTTATCCTTTTCCCTTTTTGTGGAACTCCACAGGGTAATAAGTAAACATATCTGAGGGAAAATAGAATGAAAGATGTTCTTTTTGTCTAACAGCAAAGATCAATAATAATAAGCATTGGCTCTTGAGGTTTAGTAAATAGCACTTATAGTAACATAGTGTTTTTTATGTTGAAAGCTTTAAGCTGAACCACTTGTGCAGACTCTAATCCTCAGTGTACGCTATTTTGCGTACTACACGCCTCTGCTCATGTTATTAAAGCACATGAAAAAAAATTATGCATCCTCAGATTTTACTAAAAAGTCAACTCTCCTTAAAATGTCTGGTAACATTTTTATTGCAATGGTTTCATTTATCTAGGCTAGCTAGGCTGGTTCAGATGGACTGTGAGGATAATAGCAGATGCACTTTTCTTTCCTGCTATCCATTTCAATGAAGTACTAGGTTTACCTAGAGAGAACTAATAAAAATAAGAAAGTGACAGAGAGCACAAGAAATTTAGGGTTAGGATATTACTGATAACAATGAAGAAATAAAGATTTCTTCAGAAGACTTTTTAAGCATAGTCCTTTACTCTTATACCTGTTACTTCGGTGCTTCAGTCTCATATATGTTTCTTCCTGTCAGTGGTCATAGGAAGTGAATTTGGATTGTGGCTACAGTTCAGTTATCAAAGTTTTAATTTGTGATAGAAACAATATTAGCAGGACAATTTTTTAGTTTCTAAAGACTATGTCATGCAACAGAAATAACACTGAGTTGAGAACCATTCTCAATTCACCAGTACAGGCTGGGGGTTGA